ACACACACACACACACACACACACACACACACACACGGCACACACATAGTACACACACGCATGCACACACACACACGCACACACACACGCCATACACAGCTAGTACTGGAAAGGAGGACATTTAAGAGCCAGGAAATAGTTTGGAGTTTTTTTAATCTGGGCCATAAAAAAAAATTTTTTTAAATGTCAGAAAACCTTCTCAAGTTAATAAAAAGCATTAATCTACATCCAAGTTCAATAAAATCCAAGGAAGATAAGTACTAATATAGCCACTCTTATACAAATGAAAAACCTGAGCACAGCAAGAGAAAGCAATTCATGGAGTCCAGGGAGACCAAACCAAAGAGCAGTTGACTTTCCAGACCAGCAACAACGGTGGAGCAAGGTACTCTCTCAAATAAAGACCCTGTGTCCAGTGAAACTGCTTCCAAAGGACACAAAAGCAAGGGTGTTCCCTGATAAAGACAGAATTTACAAACAAGGGATTTTCTTAAAAGGTTCGAGGAAAAGACACCAGATGGTAATTTGAAACCACATAAATAATTAAGAGACAAACGCAAAGGTAATTATGTAGGTAAATATGAAATATAAACAATTTTTTAGTTTTCTCCTCTTATTTAAAAGACAATCACATGGAAAAGGAAGTGTATAGTTTTGAAGTATTATAGTAATAGGACAGGAAGAAAGAAGTGTCACATAGAAGCCAAGTTCCTACATCTGGCTGGAATTCGGCATCCCTCAACAGCAGAACTCAAGAAATGCCCGTGGGGGAACTCATTCTGATGGGTGGGATCAGACACACAGGTCCATCCACACTCCAGAAGAGTGCCCTCAGCTAGAACCAGAAGCCAGTACCCGAATCTCAGCCCTGAAACCGTGACGAACAGTTCAACCTAAAAGAGATGCCTGTAAAATAAAGCTTAAATAACTAAAAATGCACTTTAAAGTGGAATATCTTGTGTTCAGGCATAGGAGTGTCTGGGAGGCAGATGCAAGTGAGGCCGAGGGCAGTCTGGTCTACACAGGTGAATTTCAGAACAGCCAGGCTACAGAGAGACAACGCATACGCCAAAGAAAAGTGTAATTTGGGGGCTGCTGCTTTTACAGAGTACCTGTTGCTCTTGCAGAGGCCCTGGGTCTGGTTCCCAGCACTCACACGGTGGCTCACAACTGCCTGCAACTCCAGCTCCAAATGATGCAACTCTCTTCTGGTGTCACAGCTCACCCCCACATACACACATTCGGGCACACACCCATACAGATAAAAATAATGTCGTTTTCTAAAAATTAAGTACACATTAAAAAAGTTGACCAATGAATTAAAGATCTAAGTGAACTAAGGAATTCTAACAAGGCTCCCTGGAGATTATACGCCGCATGTCTAAAGAACACCTGCGGAAGATTAGCTTATTTCTTATATTTTTGGTTGTGAGCCTAGCCTTTAACCGCTGAGCCATCTCTCCAGCCCATCTTTGTTCTTTAAAAACTTGCTTACAGAGAAGTCAAATTTGTAAATAAGTATGTAACTGAACTTCCAAGATTTTTAAAATATTCCAATAAGAAAAAAAAAACTGTAAGTTACATATATGATCAATTGGAAAGAAAACTACATTTTTAAAATGTGGAAAATGTGGTTATTTGTTAACAAATTTTGAATTCCCCCTAATGTCCTGTACTGTCCGAAATCAACATTTAAGAAATTATGGGGGTGATGACTGAGTAGAAAAAGTGATTGCCTGGCAAGCACAAGGACCAGAGTTTGACCCCCAGCCATGCATTAAAATGCCAAATGGTTATGGGACCCCCCTCCCCCAGTAAACATGTGTAGACACACATATGCACACAAATGCACACATACTCCAAAAAAATTATCAATGAAATGCAGATATGTGTATGTCTAGACCATGTCATTTATAAAAGAACAATGCAAAGACATTTAAAAACAGATTTGACTGGGTTATTAAAGAAATTAAAGAGCAATTGGGTAGATGGTCCATCAATTCTACCTCCAGGATCTTCCATGAAGACACATCTCCAATGACACAAAATACAGTCAGATGCATTAACCACTGTACTATTAAACATAATGGCAAAATGTAGGAAACCCCTCAATGCCTTACGGAGGAAAAACGTTGAAGAAACAGTAGAACATTGCATCTCCGTGTCTCTAGGAACCTGTAGAGAAATCACAAGGGCATACTACTCACTAGAAAAATGTACAATGGAGAATGCCATCTTTCACATAAGTAACCTTGAGCATATTAAACACCCATGCATACCAAAACCCCCAAGTTTATACCAATGCTTTATTCTATCTAGTCTAACACCAAACAAGCCATTTCAATCTGTCCCTGACTTCTTTGCCCAACACTGAAACTCCTGACATAGATACACATGCATACACACACAAACACGTGCCTGCTATTTGTGCAGAAGTAAAGGTTGAATCAGAAACTGAAACCATAGGTTACTTACAGTCCGCAGATGGACTTGGGCATCACCGTTTCGGTGATGGAGCCGGGACATGGAGTGAAGCCACAGTAAAATACAAAGACCAACAAATCAACCCAAGGGGCCACACAATCCTAGTGAAGGTGAGGAAAGTGTAAAGGGAACACACAGAACCAATCAAAGGAACTTGGGGCACTGGTTTCGTGACTCCTACTATAAGGAACTGCACCCAGTGGAACACAGTGTGTTTCTCCCAAGAGTACAAACGAGCACCACTCAAATTACCTGCGTGGGCTTCGCAGACAAGGGTGCATAAGAGCCAGGCTAGCCGACGGCGGAAAAAGACGTCACAAATATGGACAACCAAATGAATCATGTGGTGTGTCAGATTCGAATCAAGTCTCAGTACAAAGGTATAGTTTTAACATGCTCAGATACTAATGTGTATCTGTTAGCTTACATACACGTCCAGCTCTGCCGGCTAGATAGGCTAGGCACCGACACCTCAGTGGCTATACACATGGAAACAGCTGCTGGTCTATAGGCACCATTGTCTTAGGAATGAGGGTTCCTATTTGGGTCTCAGCAGAAAACACAAACACACTGTTGAACACTTTCTCCTTGCTTCTACCATCATGGCATTCTGTGAGGGGGGACTTATTTCAAAGAAGAAACACAAATACATAAAAGCAGGCTCAAAGTAAGTTCATGAACGTGGAACATCATTTAATGACAGCACTCTTGAGGTCACATGTTGAAAGAAACAGCTGTCCTCCAGGGAGGCTCCTACCTGGCCGTAGAAAGCCTCGCTCAAGTGGCAGCTACGGAGGAGGAACAGGGTGCTCCTGGAGAGGGTGTGATGTGATGGTTTGGTTTGGGAGTTGGGTAATCAGAAAGGAAAAACCATTTTTAGGCACAAAATACACGTACAGATGATCAACATTGGCTAGGAAAACATTATACTTTTAGGCAGTCTTTCAAATTCAGTCCCCTGTTCTAGCTTGTCCATTAATGGATTCAAGTTCATCCCTTTATCATTAATATACATATTTCATAAACTTAGACAGTGGCATTGCTCTAGTTACAACTTTGACTTTTCTAGGACATCATTTCACTTTGTTTAAGCAAGAATTCATTAAAGAAACTATAAATAACCTTTAAATATTTAGCCATGAATAGGGGGTGGACTGGGGTTGATGGCTTATTTTAGTTCTAATGCGAATGCTTTTTAAAAGCTACATTTTAGCATGCATCAAGCTATGATCAACACTTGCACTGTACTGGTCAACCTGAGACTGAATGTGTCTTTAAGGCGTTTGGCTACAAGTAAATACATTTTTTTTTTCTTACTGGTAGCAAAGCAGCCTTGAAGAATGAAAATATGAGGAAGACTGAAACACTTAAAAAAAAAATCTTTATTTTAAAAAATCTGTTTTTTAAAGCATCTAGACAAATTTTTCTCTCCCAAAGAACAATCCCAGCAAAGACTGCATGCACAGGGAAAAAGAGATGCTTGCGGGAATTCAAGAATCTGTGTTGTGGTCTGGTAGCATATACACAAATCAAAGACATTTTTATACACAATTCTAAACCAGGAAGTTCACAACATTTTAGAAACCAAGTTTCATAAAAATTTTACTTGCAAAAAAAAGTTGTACAAAATATTCTTCTAGTCAAAATTTCCCATAGGGTTTGTGCAGCTTCTTGCCTTAAACACTACAGTATGACATTCAAAGGAAGCTTTTCCAAGAACCACCTAGTTGTATAACCTACAAGAGATATGTAGATTTTTTTAAAGTGCCTTTAAAATGTGAAAGCAAGTAATATAATTGTTGATTCTATTTGAAAATTTAAAATTTCTTTAGCACAGTCCATATGGCAAGCACAACATCACAGCTGGTACAAAACTGCCTGTGTTTAGTTGGAAACACAAAAACAACGCATGACAGTATTCTTTGAAAAGAAAATCCAAATGCTGCTACTGCATCCTAAGGCCATAGACAGTACTCAGAGAATTAACAAAGCCAGCAGAACGTCACAGTATTCAAACATTTACTTTGACTTTTTAAATGCCACTGAGAAAGGTGAGAGAGCTGTTGCTGCCAAGTGAGCAGGACGTCTTTCCAACTCCATGGGCTGAATTTGCTGTGTGTCCTCAAGTGAAGCTTGAGCTGCAGAGGGTGAAACCCAGCTCCTCTCTAGTTTCTCTGCTGCAGTCTGGCAGCTTTGAACTTTGAAACCCTCTTTGCAGGTTCCTCAGATCCTTCTGACAGAACTTCTTTTCGCTCTGGAATAGTGGGTAGGACATGATGAACAATGGCTGACTGTGGTGCTAAGGGGGGTAATGAGAACTCTTTTTCTATTACAGTTCCAGAAAAAGCCTGTAAGACAAAAGTGTATGCTGTTAAATATAAATAAAACGCACACAAAAACCTTTACTCTCCAATACCAAGACTTTTTTTTTTAAGAAAACTAAAACTAAAATAACAATTTTGGATAATAATCATCAAAATACTGATTGCTCACAGAAACCAAGTTTAACATCATTTTTTGTTTGTTTGTTTGTTCTCTCTGTGTAGCCCTGGCTGTCCCCGAACTCACGTTAAAATAGCACTTCTCAGAAAGCATACAGACTTCCAAAGTGGGATCAGACACAAAAGTTTAGCAAAGGATTTGTCTTTCTTTAAAACAGGGTCTTGATATGTAGCCCATGCTATCTTTGAACTTGTCATCCTCTTGTCTGGGCCTTTTAAATCAATAGGATTACAGGTGGGTTTTATTTTTAAAAATCTCAGTGGCTTAAGAAAAAAAAATTACCTCCCATGGACTCAAGAGATGGCTCAGTGGTTAAGCATGCTTAGCAATTCTGAAGAATGGGGTTCAGATCTTAATGCCCTCTGACAAGCCTGGCATTCCACCAATGCCTGTAACCCCAGCTCAGAGAACTACCCTTCTCTGGCCTCCTCTAATGCAATGGTGTACACACCTGCAACACATGTGTGCACACACTCAGATGCCTACACATCAACACAAATGAATAAAACAAATCTAGAAGAAGAATAAAAGAGAGAGAAAGGACAAAAAGAAGGGAGGGAGAGAGGGAGGGAGGGAGGAAGGGGGGAGGAAGGAAGGAGGAAGGAAGGAAGGAGGACGGAAGGAAGGAAGGAAGGTGAGTGCCTGCTTAGTTTCCATCTTGAACTGTCGAAGGAAGGAAGGGAAGGAAGGAAGGAGGAAGGAAGGAAGGAAGGAGCAAGGAAGGAGGAAGGAAGGAAGGAAGGAAGGAAGGAGGAAGGAAGGAGGAAGGAGGAAGGAAGGAAGGAGGAAGGAAGAAAGGAGGAAGGAAGGAGGAAGGAAGGGAGGGAGGAGGAAGGAAGGAAGGAAGGAAGGAGGAAGGAAGGAAAGAAGGAAGGAAGGAAGGAAGGAGGAAGGAAGGAAGGAAGGAGGAAGGAAGGAAGGAAGGAAGGAAGGAAGGAAGGAAGGAGGAGGAAGGAAGGAAGGAAATGGCAAACACATTCGCCATCTGCAGCTGGCTGTGGTGTCCACTCACACAGACACTACGCGGTGTCTGGGCTCCCTTATCTCCCTTTGACACTCAAAAGCTTTGCTTCACCAGGGCTGCTATTTCCCCTTGTGGGTCTTATGCAAGTTTTCAAGTTCTTTATTGCACTTTGCCTCCATTTTTTTGAAGGTCAGTAAAAATAAAAAAACGAAGGTGCTGAGATTAATGTGGATCAGAGCAGCTTTAAAATTCTAGGACAGTCAATCCAACGGCACAAATCACCCATGTCACCAAAAACCAGAAACACTCTCCCACTGTTTATAGAACTTCATCTAATCAAAACCAACTATGTTCAACTGGAATGAGAAGACTAAATGACATATAAATCGCCAGACTGTCTTGATGCCTCTTTTTATATCAAGAAAAAGGAAGGCCAAGGAGTCACTTTTTTAAACTGTCTAGTATTTGGAACCTCTCCCTTGCTAAGAACTTAAGCACAAACTGGAAACTTTAAAAATTGACACATGAAGTTTTGAGTACATTTTACTTAGTTTTGTCTACCAAGTGTTGAAAAACTAAGACAACATATCACTTAGTTTAGAAACCACTGTCAGTCAGTTCTTTGCATTTTTGCTCAAGTAGCCCACCTCTTCCAACACTTAGCTTTTTCTCTTTCTTTGAAACTGTTCGTGTGTGCCACAATGTACATGTCCAGGCCAGAGGACAACTCACGGGGGGCTGATGATTTCCTTCCAGGTGTGGGTCCAGCAGGACGGCAGCAGGCACCTTTAGCCAGAGCCTTCCCACTGGCCCTCCTGCTTCTCTGTAAGAGACTCTCCGTTGCCCTGCTCTCTCGGCCCCACTACTCTGCATCTTCTCCCACATACAGAACTCCCCTCCCCCACAGCATCTGAGGCCAAGCTGCCGAGCTCAGAACACAAACTTCTAAACACTCCATGCCCTCATGATGAGCATGAAGCCTTCATATTGTCTTAAAAATGTGTCTGAAAAACAAGAAAGCACAAACTGAGGGTTCATGGATCTCCTTTGACTTTTTGGAATAAACCACAAAGAACAGGCCTGTGAGATATAAAACCCGGAACTAAAACACAGACCTCGGACGCTTCTGAGGGCAACAGCTTCTTGGGGTGGTTTTCCTGCAGTTCTTCCAAAGTGCTCCCCCTGCCCTCGGAGGCCTCCTCGCAGCTGAGGCTCCTCAGGACGCAGCGCCGGTCATCCCCATCCGCACTGGTGTCACTGCACACACTGTTGTCTCTGCTGCGAGACTTGAGGATGGACTTCCGGGGCACGTACTCGCCATTCACGACATCCACAAAGACTCTAGGCATTCAAGAACTCACTTCACTTTAAGGGCTCACAACTGAGAAGAACTTCACAAAGATGTCTTCATTTTTTCCCTATAATTTAATCTAAGATTTGTTTGTTTGAGGTCATTTGTTTGAGACAGGGCCTCACGTAGCTGAGGCTAATCTGCCACCTGCAGATCCCAAGTGCTGAAGCCACACAGCTATCACCCAACTGAGTTTTCCTGCTAAAACGTCTTCTCTAAAATGTCATATTCAGAGTAAGCTTGCAACTTCACAGAATGTACCTTCTATTACTTTCAAAGATGAATGTGGGACCCAATAAAATTTAGTGTGCTACTTATAAATAGGTTCAGGTGAAAATTCAGGAGCTTGAATTGCCAAAAAAAAAAAAAAAAAATTTATGCACACCACTGTGAAAACATGAGGAATTTCCACCAGTTTGCAAATGCGGGTCATAAAATGGCAGGTGTTTTCACTCTAACAGGTGAAATACAGGACACGCTCAGGACAATCGTGGCAGGCAAGTTCCACAAGGAAGCCCAGCCCCAGGGCTCTGGTGACATATGAAGAGGACTATGAGGAGGAAACCACCAGCACCCAGCTGCTCAGGTGGCAGGCTGTGTGGCACTTGGTCTCTCTCT